TCAAGCTTAATTGAGTTATGTTTCATAGCTACTGTAATTAAACTAATAGAATATGGTGAATTTGAATTTGCATTTCCTTCCTACAGAGTTTGTTTAATCCTTTACATATGAACTCTTCAGAAGTGTCTTGAAAATGCTCAAAATTTTCGTGTCGATGGAAGTACTACATGTGGCACACAGGGACAGAAATAGCTTCAGTTCCTTCCTGTGTCCACCCACTTTGCTATTTCAGCAGCAAAGACGAGTATCTCTTTGGCTGGCTGTGGTGGCAGCAGAAACCTAGAGCTGGTTGAAATTCTTCACACAGTGAAATACCTAATGAGAAATACCTAAATGAGAAATGACATGTTGGGGGAATCTTCTTGTTGAAGATTATTTTCATGTTTGGGAGAATTTTTGTGTTTCCTACACAGCAAATTATGATTTTTGGTGGGGAAATACAGGCAAAACCTCTCCCTTTCTTTATTCCCATATTCCCCATCAAGGATATTTCCACTTGTTAGCCAAAAAATAAAAAAGAAGAAAAAATGGAAAAAAGAGGTTCCCTTTCTGCCTCCCAGCATCATTACTGAATCTTTTCTCACTGGTAGTATTTAGTATTTCTCCTGCACTGTTTAAATACCTTCTTTATTTTATTAATACCTATCAGACTTCTCTTGCAAAGTAGAAGAAATTTAACTGCAAACTCTTACCCTGAATATGGTGACCTGTTTTCTCCTGGGCCCTGATCCTGCAAGGACTGTAGCTAAAACCTTTAAAAATTCGGTAAGTAGGGTTTGGAGCCATAGCTGGTTCACCAAGGAGAAGCAATGTAAGCAAAGCCATAGGAAGAGGAAAAGACTGGCAGAGGAAATCTCCAGATACATAACCTATTTCAAAATAGGGATTAGTGAGATTTTTTTTCCAGTCTCTCCATCACTATTTTTAAAGGTCTTGTGTATATTTTTCCCAGCCTCTGTGCCATGCTGTGCATTTTTTGGTATTCCTTTCATGCATTAAAAAACTTGATCATCTGAATTACAAAACACAAAATATTGCTTCTCTTTTTTCATTGATCTCCCTGTGGCTGAAACTGTACCAGTGATGCCCTGCCCTGGCACCAGGTTGGTGCAGGATCCAGAAAAGGCAGATAGCTTTTTTTTTCCCCTGTAATAGTTCATCTATCGGACAAGGTAGGATCTCTGGGTTACACTCCAGGCATTTTATGCTTGTGATGGAAGAAACTGCGTTACATCCAACTGCAGAGTTTGTTAAAACGCATCAGATCTCTGCCTGCACAGTGAAGGGAGGGGAACCTCATTCCATTTTGTTTCAGAGACTCCATCAACAACCTCATTTTCCTGAATAGCTGGAGCTGGTGGAAGGAAAGGGAATGAGCAGACCTCACATCGCAAATCAGGGGAGATTTGCAGGAGGTTTTCCTACCTCAAAAAATGTTCAGGTTTATAAAGTTCAAAGAGGAGTGATGCAGAATTGCTGTCTTTGGTCTTTCCACTACATACACAGGCTTGAATTGGATGGGGAGTTTCTCCCTGTGTTTTTTTTTTTTTTTTTTTTAATTTTTTTGGTCACAAAAAGCCCCAAAACCTAAAGGCATTAAAACAATGTGTAGAAGAGAGTCAGTTTTGACAGATAATTTATAATTAAACTTTTGCAAGCCAGGAGCCTGAATTCTTGCTTTTTTGCGTTTCCAAATCAATTTTGGCTTTACGTGTCAGCTTACTGCCATTGTGGATATTTAATTTTGACCATAAGAAGATAAAACCCAAACTTGGCATAAAATACTTCAGGGGCTTATATATTTAAGACAATTTTTTTTTTTTTTTTTTTTTTAAATTTTAGATAATTTCATCCTGATTCAGAATGGAGAAATATTCTCCACATCATAAGAAATATTCACATGCCCTGGTCGAGGACCAGCTGCACCTTGGTCAGCTGCTGCACCATGCAGAGGCAGATGAGGGTGGAACAGACATCCCTAGGGACTGATGGGGATCTAGATGTCTCCTCTACCTGCTTTCTGAGCTGTGCTGGCCTCATCCTGATGTCTGTGGCTTTAATGGCATGCCAGATGCTCCATCTGGGAACTTCCCAGTAGCTGCTCCAAGCCTGCTGTGAGGCTGTCAGCAATACTAAGGGGGATGAAGGGGGTCAGGCACCAGGGTTGGCCCAGATGTGTGAAGATGGTAAATGTTAAAATTAATTTTTGCACCGAGGCACAGGGAAGAGTTTCCCTCTGTGGCTCAGTGGGGAAGGTCTTGTCTCCCTACAGAGGATCATGACAAATGTAGTGCTGGATCAAGCGAGCTTATCTCCTGCACTCCCTGTCCCTGCCTTGCAGAAGTAGGGCATAGATCCACATGTTTTGAACTTCCTGTGGAGGATGCTGTGATATCATCATGACCTATGGTATAGCTGTATCTGCCCTAATCTGAGCTGATGTCACGCTTTCCAGCCCTGTGGTGCCCAGGCTGCCCCGGGCAGAGATGCCCGTCTTACCTGAGGTGTTACAAGAATGACTAAGACCCTCTGTTCTCTGCCTGAAATATTCACTGACACGAGTTGCAGTTTCATTGGCACCTTTTATTATCTAAAGAAGAGCTGAAGTTCAGATCTGATCTCCCTGTCAATTACCACCCTTGTTTACTTCATCAGCTCAGTCTAGACCGGCACTAGGGAACAACATCAGAAGAGGCATTAACTAAATTTGCAGTTGCTATGCTCTGGCAAATCAACTCCACAATCTACAAATGTACATAATCTCTAAATGAGATTAGCAACAGACAGAAAAAATAAAGGTGAATATAGCTTTTTGAGGAAGGAAGAGAAGAAAAATTAAAGCTTTGTTCTGGTGTCCCTCATTTGGGTGACAGACTACAAAAAATGAACGTTGGAACCTTCAAATAATCTTTTTGGAGACAGTAAATGTACTTTGGTGGTTTAAATTTAATCAGGCTCCTTTGAAATTGGCAGCCAAAAATCTACTTCCTATGAATACATTCGGTTTTGGCAAAGTGGAGAATTCTGCCGGTCATGGGGACTGATTTGACAAAGTGAGGAAAACTAAAAAAGGAGAGAACCCCCCAAAACTGAAGTATTTGGCACAAGAGAAATATTTAGGGAAGATGCTCCATTTTCCTTGGAAGATGGTGCAGTTGATGAGCTGCCCCATCTGGAGATCTGCTTTTGCTACAACTTTGTGAGGGATAAAACACTATTTCCCATCAAACTTGGCTATTCTTACATCTCTATTTGCAGGTGTTAGATGCTTTTTCAAGAAGCACTAGCAGAGCACTAGAGAAAACACTCCTTCCCCCCATGTTTAAAGAGGAAATCTGACCCCTGGTTTCTGCCCTGGTATGATCCAAGGTGGGAGCAAGGAGGGCCATAGGCTATGGGTCTACACTTCACAGTTAAATCAAGTATGGACCAGCTGATCATCTGCAGTGAATTAGCACAGTTCTACCCAGTGTGTTAGTGGCAGGCCTGACTAACACCCTTGGGATTCAAACCTAGCACCTGCCACAGAGTCAGTCTGGGTTTTTTGGTCCTAGGTGATATTAGAGATTAGATCTGGATATCATCCCTTCCTAATGCTCAGGATAACAGTAGTGGGTTCAAAGGATTTATTTGGTTTGGCAAAAAAAATGTGATTTGAGTTGGCAGAAACATTGCTTCTCAACAAAGAAAACCACCCTAGGTTGAATGGTGGGTCATTCCAATGAAACAAAGCTGAAGCTGTTCACTGAAATAATTTTGAACCTGGTGAATTTTGGTTACTTGCAAACCCTGCATTTTTGGCAAGTTTATGTATTCCCCCTTAGCTCCAGTGAATACAAAGAGAATACAAAGCCCCTGCTTATCACCTTCTTTGCCTCCAGCATTTCAGCATTTTTCACTTCTTAGATTTTCACTTCCTAACCAGTTTCTGAAGCTGCAGGGCTTGAGGGTAGAATTTGGCAATCAGAGCTTTTTTCTAGACACAGCTTGCATTAATCAAGTTTTTGTCAAAGAACCATATAATTCATGGTGTATGAACATACCAGGAGTTCATACAAAGTTTTTATTATTCTCTATTGTCAAAGTTAGACTAAAATGCTCTCCAAAAAGAAAACCTTGTAATTTGTAAATAGAGGAGTTTACACTTCACTGAAGATCAAAGAGGAAACAGTCTACATCAAAAATAATCCTGCGAATTTGGCTTTCCTTTTTCTCCCCAGCCAGTGGCGTTTGGCCAATATTTTGTCCTCTGTCTTGAAACAAGTGCTATTAAAAGTAAATGAAAAATGTTTGCCTTATAGGAAGTGCTTAAACAGGAAATTCACCTTCATATAGTTTCCCAGCTGTTACAAAATTAGCTTTAATAGAGAAGGGAGAAGTGGAGCGGTGAAGTGCACAATTGTTTCTCTTTTCATAAATTCCTGTAGGATGCCAACCCAAAAAGAGCAACTAGCTACGAGCTGAGGTCAGGAGGATGGCTGATTTGTAACTTTGATACTAGCTACTAAAATTGAGAAGGAAGAGGGAATAAAAGCAAAAGAGGTCACAGTTCTGTAACACTGACAGTAACACACAGGTGATGGGTGCTGTCAACATTATAAACTATATACAAGACAAAGCAGGACTCTTTCTTTTCCCAAAGAACGCAACAACAACAAAAAAGGGTGCATGTAACACAGTCGGCACATTATCGCAGGGATAAGGAAAGGGGGCCTCTCCTAAACATTACAGACTTAACTCATGGCAGTCCAGGGTACAGTTCATCTGTCTAAACACACATCCTCTCCCCCTTCCTCCTTAAATATTTAGCGAAGACCAGGCCAGTAGCAACATCTGATGTGATCGCAGTGCTAACAAGATGTTAATAAATGCAAAGATTTCCCTGAAAGGGAGCACCTTACTCCAGGAAGAGATGAGGGCGGGTGGAGGTTCAAGGAGTAACATGTCTAGTGCCAACATCTGGTGCATCTTCTCATGGTCAATGGTATCTCATATGGCAGTCAGTTGGGTAGGGTGTCAAGCCCAAGGGACGCCGCGTGCTGCTTTGCCCGGAGCCTTAGATTCTCAATACTCGTTGTTTTACTGTTCAGACTTGGAAGTGAGCTGGAGGCCTGCAGGATGGGTGAGGACCAGACCTGCTGAGCATGGGAGAGTGACTGGTAATATGACTGACAGTGCAGAGAGCTCAGTGGCGCCATGTTGACGTTCATGCCCAAGTAGGGCATGGCAGACGGTGTCCCCATTTCGAAGGAGGAGTAATGGACCAAGTTGTTAGTGGCTGCCATGTGCTGGCGGAATTGCTCCTGCAGGCGAAAGAGGCTCAGGGGCGAAGAGGAGTAGGAGTGAGTCTGAGCCAGGCCACTGCTGGATGAAGGTGTCACAGTCGCGCTGATAGGGGACTCTGTAGGACACAGAGGGGATGGGGGTTATTTCTACAGGCTAGATGCAGGTAGAACCAGCAGGGTTTGGATTGCAGCATGGGCTTCTATCTTGCATCAGAAGGGCAAACGAGAGGGGTTGTTTTAGCTCAGGAGAGCTGTGTCTGTTCCATACTTAGCATCTTACAGCACAGAAATGAGGCTGACTTCTTTGCTATAGCTTTTCTGCTGCCGGTGGGCACTGTTATCCCAAGCTCTAACCTGAGCAGAAGTTCTTTGCTCTTTCTGTGCTCCTGCTACAACAAACATCATGCCCTCTGTGGGTCCCGTTTAATGGTAGGGACAAGAAGACAAATCTCGGCAGCTTACCTGCAAGCACCCATGCTGTAGGGAATAGGGGACCCTACCCAACCACCAGCATCTGCCTTAGAAATGCCAGGTCGTGACATCAACCCCCACCAAGATGCTGCCCCTCACCTGCTTTTGGGCTCGCTCTCTTGCAGTTCAAAGCCTTGCTATCCACACCAGGGCTCTTGTCCACTTTAGCTTCATCCAAGGTGCTCTTAAACTCCTCCTCTCTGTCGGTCTGGTCCTCAGGTGCTGACTCACTGGCTGACTGCTCTGACAGGGTTAGGTTGAGGTCCGCGCCTACCTCACTTGGGAGGCTCTGGACCTTCTCGGTGTCCGGGGTGGTAGCCTGGGTCTCCAGCATGGGCTGCTCCGTCTTTCCCTCACTGTGGCTCCCTTCACAGTCCTTCTGCTTCTGCAGCTGCTCCTTCTGCAGGCTGCGCTGCTTCTTCCGGAATTTGGCTCTCCGGTTCTTGAACCAAACCTTTAATGCCACAAACAGCAAGAGAAAAAAAATGGTGAGAATCCTGCTTAGTGCCAAATTCAACATCATTCAGCCTGGGAGCTTCAGGGAAACCCCAAGTAATGAAGTACTGCAAGCCCGCTGTGCCCAAATGTCATTCCACTTTGTTGGGTCTTAGAGCTCTACCTGTTTTCAGTGCTTCTACAAATAGCACAACAAATATATTTTTAAAAAATATACAGCCTTTATGTTGAACTTTAAGGCACTCCACTGGTGCTGGTTTTTTGGGGGTTTTTGGTGTTTTGTTTTCTAAATTAGTTGGGCAGTTTCATCCAACCAGAATGTCTTATAGCTGAATCTGGTGACATTACATTGGCTTACAGTACAGTGCTCTGTTAGTTTCTAAAACCATTCAGTTATAAGTTTACCAAAACTATGGTGGGAACACTCAAAATAAGTCATCACAGGCATACGCTGTTATCTGGGAACAGAATGTAGGGAAGGAAGACAGAATCCATATTTTTTTAAACCTGAATCAGTAGACATGGATTAGAAGAAATATATTTGCAAATCTTGTTAGTGCTGTTTGGTTAGTTGGATGAGGAAACAAAAATCTGGACATTGGAATGTCTTGACATTTATGTAACAGAATTATTTTTTCCTATTACTTATCCACTTGACACTGAAGAGCTTGGTATTTAGTCTTTTAAAGCCCAGCAATGCAAGAACCTCCCCATCAGCAGGTTATGAAGCATGTTGCGCTAGTTGAAAGTAAAAAAAACAAAACAAAGCAAAACAAAAACCAACAAAAAACCTCAACCTTGGCCTGAGATGTTACAAATACTGACACTGGTGGAAAAGAGCAGCTGGAATTACTTCAGTTTCTGCTCTTCTAAGAAACTCAGAAAAGCCTTGCAAATAAATAAATAAGTAGACTTCTGTTGATGTTTCTAACATTTCCCCCAAAGAAATGTGAAAGAATAAATGAAAACCAGTGTACACTTCAGACAATCCTAAATTTAAAAAATATGTGTGTGGATTAAGAATTTCTTTAGCAGATGTGTGACTTTGGATGATTTTATTTTGCTCCCCTCCCCACCCCCACCTTTGACAACTTTATTGCCCCAAAATATTTGGTTACATTGGAAGCATCTTGAAAGATCAATATAGCTGTCAACCCTCTGGGAACCCCACTATACTCTTTTAAACATCCCCACTCACAAACTCACGAAATATCAGTACCTGGACTCTGGCTTCAGGTAGGTTTGTGCACATAGCCAGCCGCTCTCTCATCACCACATCTGGGTAATGAGTCTTCTGGAAGGTCTTCTCCAGTGCCTCCAGCTGTTGGGCAGTGAAGGCTGTGCGACTTCGCCTTTGTTTGCGGTGCTGGGATCCATAACGTGCCTCCAAAATGATGTCTTGAAATGTACAGCCGTTGGAAGACAAGAAAAGTGGCCAATTTAACTATGGGAATTTGTCACATAAAGCACTTGCTAACACCAGACAAACCTATAAAACTTTTTTTCATGGCTCTAGATCTAATAAAATACATACACGCATTTTGCTGGTTAATTGAGGTGTCCAAGGAGATAAAACCGCTGACTAGAAAGCCTGTTCTGGAGAGAGCAGCTGCATTAGAAGACGTGCATCTTCCCAGAAACTGGGCTGAGCTCGCTCTTCTTTAGTGTCTCATATGCAGCTCGCTGCAGTCTTCAAGGCATGATACTGGAGAGCTGTTCTGGGCTCTAGTTCAGGAAAGCACTTAAGCTCACGTGCTTATGTGTATTTAGCTTGAAAGCACGTGCTTTACTGAGTATGGACACTCTCCAGCATCTGGGGTGGAAATGCCAGCCAGGACCAAGTCCGGCCCCACTGATTGCAAGGCCAGAGCTCATGTGCTGAACTCTTCTCAGTAAAGGAGCTACTGACAAGGTCTGACTTGCCAAACTGTGCTTGCAAAATTGAGGGCAGAGAAGAAACTCAGACTGGGGAAAATCTGAGGCAAACAGCAAAGGGCTTATTATTTTACCAGAGGCGTTATTATTGCACAACAATTAGTGGGAGTAGAAAGATCTTAAATCAATGAAAAGAATTAATTTTAAAATTTAAAAAAAACCCTTATTATGCAAAGGAACATGCTGTGCTACAGAGTTGGAATGAAATAGTTTGGTGAGAGGTTTGCTCTCAAAGAGGAAATGCAGAAAGAGCAGTGTCTGGTATCATTTTTAATTCAATTAAGAATGCGACTTTCGTAGAAGGGAAGAATGAATACACTGGAAAACAACCCAACAGGGAGAAAAGTGGGCATTATCAGTGTGCAGAGGCAGATGAAGGCTCTTGTTGCTGTTTATTGGTGCTTTTGTCACGAGCACCATGGCATGAATCTAAATAATAAAACAAAACCTGCTGTCAGGCCAGCCCCAGAACCACGCAGCCAGGTTCCAAATACATTGGCTAATGAGCGTAGCAAATCAGCTTTGCACCACTCAAACATTCCTCTTCCAAACTTCCAGCTGTTTCATTCTAGTTCAGCATTTGCAGTGACTTTCTGGGTGATTGCCAAAGCCTTGTGGTTTCAGCAACCTGGAAAAGAAATGATCAGGCTAAAGGTCTTCAGCCAAATACAATATCATGTTGGTTGCATTCAAGGAAGTTTTGTGTTTGAGGTATTGGAGCTCCTCAGGGAGTTAAAATGGTGGTAATAGTTGCCACTTTGAAGGCAGAGACTGTCCTCGATGCGTTCAGACACAGCTACAGTGCAGCCAGACAAGGAGAAGGGATGTACCAGGACAAGAAATTGAAGCTACCACAAAATGTTTTACAAAGCTAACATTTGTGTTTCAAGTATAAGAAATCAGGAGAAAGGACACTGGTTAAACACCCTACCTGCAGGCTGGAATATTCCTAAATTTCTAGAGTAGACGTTAGACCTACTAGCTCCCTGGAGGCAGCAGCTCATGCATTAAGTTTGGCCACTCCAACAAAAGGCAACCAGCAATTATTTTAATGTTTTAACTATGTTTTCAGGCTTTGTGCAAGAAGGAGAATATAAATTGCAGGTGAGGCTTTGCAGTTACAATCAGAAACTGATTTCTGTTTTCTGACTTAAGGTCATTTGCTTTTGTGCTGCTTTATTCTAACTGTCCCTGGAAGGCAAATGAGATCTATAACCTGCACTGAAAGATATTCAGAAGTAACAGAATGTGAAGCAAGTGCAAAGGAATCCGCTTATAGGTATATAATGCCTACCCTGCCAATGATAAGCAGACAAGGGGACTGTGGGATTTAATTTGGAAAGTCTTCCAGGTGGGTTATTAATTTTAAAGATAAGAGGTCAGAAAACCAATTGAATCTCCTGGTCAAGAATGTAAGAATAGCTCTTTTATTTTATTTTTTTTTAATCTCCCTCTGCTTTTACCCTAGTTAGGGTCAAAGACTTTAAGTCCTCCATGCTCTTTTGTAAAAGACACAGGTGATCACAAAAATCTTTCAAGAGATCCTTGCATCTGGGAACTGGCCACCTTGAGACCCAAGGTCTGCAAGGCACATTGCAGAGTTCAGGACTATCTG